CAACCTGTCCCCCCCCCCCGTCCGTCTGCTCCTTCAGCGCTGGCTCTACACACCATATAATTAAAGAATAAAACTACCTTTTATTAGCATAAACTATATCACATATGAGAAGCAAAGTTTGAGGGGTCTCTTCATCAGGCAAAGTGTTGCTGAAGACACCCTTTGCTGCAGATTCCAAAGCGTTGCCTTTAATGTGACACGTCCTAGTTAATGCTAATAAAGGAGGTTTTATTTTTTTCTGGCTCAAAGCTGTGGGCAGCTGGGAGACAATATTGCCCTGTCAGCCACTATCGGCTGTCTTTGGATCACAGGAGTACATTAGCATTAGTAACTGTACTACTGTGGCTCAAAAGGGTGTGGAAAAGACTTCCACAAGAGCAGGTTGTGGTCACCCCTGGAATGGTGGGATTTCTTTCTGAATGCACAATATATAACTGGCTCTTAACATTTATAAGAAATAGCACTGCAGATTGCTGAATCAGGACATATCCGATTGCCTAGGGCCTATTCACACTTGTCTGCTTTGGTGTGTTTTGTTAATGTGTGTTTTATGTCAAGACAAATCAGTTTAAATGGCTGCCAGAGTGCCAGAGTGCACAGGAAAACACACCTGCACTTTTTTTTTCTGTCGAGCACTATGAAAGGTGGTTGGGTGCTGGGGTGCCATTTAAAATCAATTGCATCACAGTGCACCAACACCTATAGCGTGCATTACATAATGTGTACAGTATTGCAACTCAGTGGTTTGAACGGGTGTTTAATAATCAGCCCTTTTTTCTTTTTCGCCCCCATTAGAATTACCGGGATGTTATGGCAAGCCACTCTGAAAATTTCCGATGGAAGCGGTGGAGTCTTGAAGATATTGCAACTATCCTTTCCCGACGCTTCCCTTCCAGTTACATATGGATTGTGAAACCTTCTCGCATGCATCTGCACAAATTCAGCTGCTATGACCATTTTGTGGAAAGTAACCTGTTTGGTGCCCCAGAGCACAGTGTGGAACTGAGAGCTATCAGACAACTTCATTCCTTGCTCACGAATGCCTTCACCGTGGCACAAAACCTTCTGATGTCTCCGAATAACAAGTATGTTGTTAACAGTGACAATGACCATTCTGTGACCCCAATGGGTTCTGCATATTCCACAAATGGTTGCCATTCAGGAGAAGACAATGTTAATCATTGCTCCAAGGACTCTTCTCTCGGTTCGCCATCTGTAAAGGATTCTCTTTCCTTCACTGTGATTGGATTCAGCAAGGGATGTGTTGTACTTAATCAGTTTCTACATGAACTGCATGAAGCTAGAAAAGATAAGGAACTCCATATATTTGTAGGCAATATTGAATCCATGTATTGGCTTGATGGGGGGCATTCTGGAGGCAGCAACACCTGGATAACGTGTCCCGATATTATGAAAGCATTTGCTCAAAGGCGTATTGCAGTGTATACTCATGTGACTCCTTACCAAGTTAGTGACTCCATGCGGTCCTGGATTGGAGAAGAGCACAGGAAATTTGTAGAGCTTCTGAGAGGTTATAATGTTGTGGTCAATAACCAGTTACATTTCGCCTACGAGGCACCTTCTTTGGATAACCATTTCAGAGTTCATGAAGTTTTCTAAATGTATCTCCTAGAAATGGAAAGCTCCACTTCAAATGTTTTTTTTTTCTTTCAGTGTACTTGTAAACTTTTCCTTCTAGTGGATTTCCCATAGAATATATGGAAAGCTTGGTTTGACTAGCAACACACAGGAAGGTGAGCAAGCCAGAGCCAACACAACTGTATTAAAGCTGGCGGGGGGCAGTCAATGAAACACTTTTCCAATCCTTGGTTTGGTTTTAAAAACCAGAATTGAGCTAAATCTTGGTCCTGCTTTAAGGAATACATAAAAATACAAGCATGCTTCTAGTGATGTGAGCCAAATTATATATAGATATATATAGATATGTATCTATATCTATATAATTTCTGCTGGTAACCTTCATTATTTAATTGGAAGACTAAATCATTACACAATCATCAGCTTGGACTCTGCATGCAGTGTTGGCTAAACCTATGCTCATTTGATGGAATGTTGACAATGTGTAAAGCCAACTGTTGTAATACCACCGATAGCAGCATCTTGCCACTGATCAGAAGTCTGCATGTGCTGTATATGGGACAGTAGTCCTTCCGAGTTCCTAGGTGCGTACGGGCTGGATTAACCATACAGACCCTTCCTGCAGTAACCGCTCAGCAAAATATTTGTAAATGTTATTCTTGTCATTTAGATAACATCATTTTGTTGGAATTGAGTGAAGAACTGTCTGTAACTAAAATGGCCACGGAGCCTAATCTGTAAGCTTTTCTGAGAAAATAGACTTCCTATCTTTAACTACCACATATGCATGCAGGAATCGAAATCTGTGGCCATTCTTCTTATACCATAGATGAGGGGACTGAACCAGGTGACCAGCTTTATAATACATTCCTGTTCTGTGATGTGTAAGCTATGCTGTCTTTTAGCCTAAAGTGGAGGGGATGGCACATTTATCAAGTGCAGGAATGATTACAAGTAGATGAACGTTTGAAGCAGGGGTAGACAAACTCTCCACCGGTAATGAAACTACAAATCTCATCATTCATCTGCCTCTAGTAGTCAGTCTTGCAATGCCTAATGGGATTTGTAGTTCCACCACAGCTGCGAGGGCTGGAGTTTACCTATACCTGATTTAAAGAAAGGGTGCACAATACATTATAAATTAGGGGTAGTCAACCTTGGCACTCCAGCTGTGGTGAAACTACCAAATCCCATAATGCCTCTGCTGCTGGGAGACATGCCTGTGGCTCTCAGTCTTGCAATGCCTCATGGGACTTGTATTTCCTCAACAACTGCAGTGCAGGGGTTATTTACCCCTACTATAGATCCTACTTACCTAGAGCCCCACTTCTCTGAGATCTTTACTATGCCACTCTTCCCCACACAGCTCCTGGTCGAGGGGAGGACAAAGTCATATGGAATTTAGGAGCCAGCAGGATTTTTCATTAGGATCCAGTTCCATTGACGGCATCACTGACCTGGCTGCTGGGATTTGTCCAGCCATGACCTGGTCAGAATCTTCACAGCAGTAAAACTCATTTGCAGCCTTAGAGGCTTGCTGATTGGCTCTCAGAAAACTGAAAGAAGAATGTGTCTTGCATACTCGGGCACCGAATGTATGAGTTTGGTTAGAGGCTGCTTAGCGTCGGGCTGGCTGAATACTGGAGATCTTTTCGGATGGGTAGCAGCTAATATTGACCTGTTGTGACTATGCTGAAAAGGAGAAGTTCCTGAAAAGTGCATTTATTCTTGAATTGGTTGTATTTTGGGATATCAGTAACTTCCCACTATTCCATGACATGGAACTCTTCTTCTTTACCCAGTTATAGTTCTAAAATCAGCTTCCAGATTGGAGGAGGTTTATGTAAGCTGTAAGAGCTTGTTGTTTTATAAACATAGTGGTATAGGCCAGTGGTGGCGAACCTTGGCACTCCAGCTGTTTTGGAACTACAAGTCCCATTTCAAGGCTCTGACAGCCACAGACATAACTCCCAGAGGCAGATGCATGTTGAGATTTGTAGTTTTGGCACAGCTGGAGTGCCAAGGCTTGCCACCACTGGTATAGGCAGTGCCTATAAGCTTTGCATTTCTGTAACATTCCCTTTAGTGCTGTTTTTTTAATGTTTCTAAAAGGGGGTCCCAGGAGCAGGTCCTGATATTCATGGTGCCCGTGTTGCCTGTGATAACCTCATCCTTTCATTTTCTGCCTAGCACTAGGAAAATAACACTGTGACTCTGGTTGTTGCCACCAACATAGATTTTCATTTCAGACACTTTTAAGGCAACTCTGCACAGCCAAAAGTTGTGAATTGTACATGTAGGAGACGGAACAGTCTAAAATACATGATTTTGGTGTTTGGTCTCAGTAAAATACTACTTTGCACATTGTTCAGCAAAAAATGTATTCTGTTTTTTCACTGTGAGGTTTACGGTTCCTTGTGTTTAATAATTGAAACTTTAGCAACTTCATTTTCTAAAGCTAGTCATACACTGTTTGAATTTCAGCCAATTCGGGGGATTCAATATGTTAGTGACCCTGTCCACCCCACCTGTATTGGCAAGTCAATTCTTCTTGAAGTGGATAATTGTAGGCTGAACAGTGACTGTAGCCTATTAGCTGCATTCACGGTGGGGGTATTCTGATAGCTGTAAACACCAGCTGTTAGAATACAGCAGCCAGCAAGGGAGATTCCTCTCGCACACGTGGTTTGGCGCAGATGGGGCTTTCGTGTTTTTTTTTTTTTTTCTTGTTCAGCCTTACAAGGCTCAACGAGACAAAAACAAAATCGTAAAATGTATGGCCAGCTTAACGACTGCAATGATCGTGTTCTATTTGGGTAGTTGTATTGTCCATCTTTGTCACTTTTTAAAGTAAAAATCGAGCAACACACAGAAAAGACCTTTACGCTGTTCAGAGTATCTTGTTCTTTTACGAATGGACTGAGGTGTTCTACTAAGATTAATGACAATAAAGAATAAACCACTTTATACTTGCCTCCTTTTATCTCATTCCTATATCCCAAATATGTTTAGGTTCTGCAATACACAATTGAACCTGCCCATCATAAACCTAAGCGACATAGGTACATTTAAAATGTATCTAAATTCAAGAAGCAAAGTATCATCATTTATTGCAGGTTATCGGTCCTTAGACCAGGGCTGGACAAATCCCAGGAGCCATGTTGCCAAGGCTCCATCAAAATTACACTTTGTGTCCAACTTTTGAGGTTTTCTGCAATTGTCAGTGGAGCTGGCTCCTGGTTTGGATAGACTAGTTACTGGATTCCATAGTAATTTGTCCACCCCTGTGTTTGACAATGCTCACTCACTCACTAGTGTTTCTATACAGAAGTAGTGTCGTCCTAGGACCAGAGGTGTGTGTGTGGACTAGGGATGCACCAATACTGAGCATTAGGGTGAGTACTTGTACCGCCCAAATGCGCCGATACTTGTCTCTGATACTGGAACTTCCGGTCAGAGGGAGATTTCGGGGTTTTTGCCTTACGTAGGAGCAGCCCTTAGTAGACAGTGCGGCCTGCTTGAAGATTTAGTCCTCCTTTACCCACTGTTTTGTTGACTGGATTAGACACCTACAGCTGCAACATTGTGCATCTACAATATGTGTGATAGATGCTACTGCATGATACTCTGTAGCTCACATTGTGGGGAGTACGGTATTTCTTTGCCCCCATCACTTCTAATCACATTATAAAGATGTAATGCCCTGAGCTCCTCCTAACTCCCAAACCCTCTAACTAATCACTGGAATTAAAGATAAAATAAAAACAAATTTCTTCAAAATGTTTAACCACCTCCGGGCCGGCCGTAGTAAAAAAACGGCCGGCCTGAGCTCTCTAGAGCGAGCGGGAAATGGCCGAAATTTAAAAACAGGCAGCGATGCCTGTCACCATACAAGCGATCCGCCAGCTGTAGAGGGTGCCGATCGGTCACGGCCCCCCCGCCGTTGTCCCGCTGATCCCAGGCTCCGCTGTGCCCAGTGCGAGCCCGGGATCAGCATGGTGCCTGTGACACGGGATCAGAGAGAGCTTGGTACTCGAGCTCCCTCCGGTCCCCTCTCCTCTGCAAGAATGCGGAAGTGTTGTATAATACATCACTTCCGCATTCTTGTGTCACTCTCCAGCTTCAGAAGCTGGAAAGAAGCTGATGGAGCAGATCTGTGCTTCATCAGCTTCTTTTGGGGGGTCCTAGGTGACATTAGGGGTCTTGGAGACCCCTGATGTCTCCATAAAGAGGACCTGTCACATATTTTGCTATCACATAGAGGGGGTTTTATTAGCCCCCGTATGTGATAGCAATAAAGTTTAGTGGAAAAAAAAAGGGAAAAAAAATTTAAGTCCCCCCCCCCAATTTAAAGTTACACCATAAAAAAACAAAAAAAAAAATGTAAGTCCCCACCCATACATACACGCATGCAAACATGCGTCGGGGGCGCATACGTGCAAAAAAGACTATTGCACCCATTACACCGCACATGTTACATATCGCCGCGAACGTCGGAGTGAGAGCAATAAGTCTAGGGCCATCAATCACTGATAACACTAAACTGATGAGCGGTAAAAGCTTTTAAAGTGTCGCCTATGGCCAATTTTGGGTATGGTAGTTTTCTGCGATTTCGCGGGTGCGCGCAATTTTAAAGCTTGACATGTTTGGTGTCTATTTACCCGACGTGACCTGATCTTTTATATTTTACCAAAAAAATGGGTAATAATAAATGTTTCCTAACAATGTAAAAAAAAACTTTTTTTTCAAAATTTTCAGTAATTTTTCCTAATTATAGTAAAAAATAAAACCCGTAATGGTGATTAAATACCACCAAAAGAAAGCTCTATCTGTCCCCAAAAAATGGTATAAAATTCATTTCAGTACAGTGTTGCATGGCGGAATTAACGTCAGTCAAAGTATCGCAACGCTGAATACTGAAAAATGGCCTGGATGGGAAGGGGGTCTAAACACCTGGTCTTGAAGTGGTTAAAACTGTTTATATAAATGGAATGAGTTGTTGCAAACAATGGCCCCATAGACTTTTCTTTCCTAAGCTATAATGTCAGGGACAAGAAGTACAGAGTGCACAGACTAGAAGCACTGAACTAACAATGCTACAACCCCAGCGGAGAGCTGTATCTCGGAAGGGACAGTACCGGGGAAATTGTAATTAACTATTCAGGGGAATTCAATATTGAATTTGCTCCAAAATTCTGGCGCTAATACAGCCTAAAAAATGTCTGCGCCAAATTCTAAAACATGCTGTGCCGTTTTCCAGACCGCTACTGACTCCTTCACCAAATTCAAGTAGTTCTTATTTGTGCCATATGTCATTCAGGCACTGTTCCTGCAACATATTCAATAAATAAACTCCAATAGTTCAATAATAAGAGAAGTGATGCAAAATAAGACCAAATAGTTTTTTGGCGTAACTAGTCTGTCACGCGTTCATATTGTATATGTCTATCACAGTATAGCACACACATACCTCAGGTGTGACATTCCTTGAAACTGAGGATCCAACTGAAATCGGTCTCAGACACTTTGGACAATGAAACACACCTATGTACTTTATCAGTGTGCATGTATCTGTCCCAAAGTTTCTCTCACAAGCCAGCATCCTTTTCAAAGGGTTTGCTCCACATTCATGAATGTTATGCAGTCTTGTACATGAATTTGGCAGAAATAACACTGTTACCATAACCCCGAGACACTTTTCTTATGTGTCTCAGCAACACTCTTTTTGAATGTCCCGCTGTCCTTTTCAGCTGTTTTTCCTGGAACTTTGCTTTAAAGTTAGAATTAAAAATGCATTGTCATGTACCTTGGTGTGAGCCTGAGGTGACGAGGAAGGGCTCCCCTTGCAACTCTCGTCTGAGCCCCAATGGAGATGAGACAGCAGTTGTACAGAAAGAGGGGCACGAGTGCCTGTGGCTGAAGTGGATGCTTGACACACTGGAGATGATGGTGCTGATGACTGGATGCCAGAGGTAGCTGGTAGTTGATAGCAGATCAGACAGCACTGGTGTGAGGAGCAGAAGCAAAGTTAGGAACAAGCTACATGGGGGCAGCATGGTAGAGGCAAAAACTATGTCAGGAGCAGGCCGGGTCATGCACTCACGAGCAGATGGGTACAAAATCAGGAGACGGAAGAATGGTCAGGGAACAAGCCGAGGTCACAAGGCAGGCAGCAAACAGCGGAGGCAGGAATCAAGATTTCAACAACAGGATCACAAATGCAGGGTACAGCTGAAGATCTCTCAGCAATGTGCCGATGCGGGAGCCATCCTTAAATAGCCCGCCTGGTGGCAAGAACAGGCAAGCGCACACCGCTATTCGCGCATGAGTATTATGTGCAATATTGGAACCGTATCACAGAAGACGCAAGTGCATGTGTGCAGCGGCCCATGAAGAGATCCGGACTGGAGCTGTACTATGGGTGCTGACTGAAGTACCCTATTAACGAAAATGTATCTTATTTGTGTATCACTCATTTGTAGATCGTCAATCATCTCTGAATTGGTGCTGACACTGTCCTTCCTTCTGGAGGGGGGCTACTTCTGTTCCCCATGGTCCCTGTGTGTGTGTGTTGTAAAGTAGAACCGCTCCAAGCTCGCTCCTGTGATGGACTACAATCGCAATACAAATGAGTAAACTAAATGTGAGATTGTAGTAAATCACGAGTGCGAGAATGGAGCGGTGGCTACTTAACAGCACACACAGGGACCATGGGGAACAAAAGTAGCCACCCTCCAGAAGGAATGACAGTGTCAGCACCAATTCAGAGATGATTTGAGGATTGCAAACGCATACAGGGACAATTTAAAGGAGAACTATGGGGTTAAGGCTTTTCCCCATAGTTCTCCTTAGGGTCTTCGGGAGGACACAAACTAGCGTCCTCCCGTCACCCTAGGCTCAGTATACCGCGAGCTGTAGCTTGCAGTATACTGAGACGCCGCAGTATACCGCGAGCAGCAGCTCGCGATATACTGAGACGCCGCAGCTGAAGCGGATCCCGACAATTATGTCTGGATCCGCCCAGCTGCGTGAGTGAGAGCTGGCTCTGCCTATCTAGAGGCAGAGCCAGCTGTACCCGCCCCCTCCCTTCTGCCAGTCAGCGCTGGAGGATCGGAGCAGGAGAGGGGAATCCAGCCCCTCCCCTGTCACGGCAGAGAGCCGTGACAGGATCGAGAGGTGAGCGAACGCCGGTATGTGTTCGCTCACTTCCCGATCTACTGAGCCGACCTGTGACAGTCTCATTGTCACAGGTCGGCTAGAACTATGAGGTGAGTGAGAAGCACTCACCTCATAGTTCTTTAAACAGTAGCCAATTAACCTTCCAGTATGTGTTTGGAGTGTGGGAGGAAACCCACGCAAGCACAGGGAGAACATGCAACTGCCATGTAGATAGTGTTTCGACCGGGATTCATATTTAGGACCCCAGTGTTGCAAGTGCTAACCACTAAGTCACTGTGCTGCTTTTAAACACTGCGAGTTCCATTGTCACGACGCACACCATTGCAAACTGGGCCTATTGCATTAAACTGAACCCTCCCTCAGCTCTACCACCTGCACAGGACAACACAGTGATGATGTCACTCCTACTTTTACAAGGTAATCTCTGAGTTTGTAAAGGCATTTGGTGAACAAAGTGCTTTATATCCTTTTTGATTATTAAGAAATCTATTTTACTAAAAGTTTTTGTGCCGAGTTCAGCTTCAAGCTGCTTGGCTGGAGCTCTAACAAGTGCCAGCAGTTTTATTTTTTCTCTGTGCACATATTTGTACAAATAACTTTTAAATGCAAAACCTGTAGGAATCCCAACATCCATCTTGAAATTAATATTTTACTAAAATCTATTGTTCTCCGTTACAAGCTTTAATGAAAGTTGGTGCTGTAGGATTTGGACTGTATCCGTAATGCCATTCTTCTAGCATAGAAGTCTCTATATTCCTCAGGAAGTTCATCCAGTGTTTTCAGGGCCCGATCTAATATCTGCATTGCTCTAGATGCTGCAGTGGGGTCCTTGTTCCCATAGGTGTCGCTTTTATCGTAGCATTCAGACGGCAGGTGTTTCCAAAAAACATTCACTCCAACTCCAAACTCTTCAGCAACTGTATTATGGAACCAAAGGGCTGAAGGAAACAGGATGAAAGAGTATCAGAACACTGCAACTCTTCATTTCAACCAATAACCAGGCGGGTTTCTTCTAATGCATATAAAAACAATGAAAGTGTATGCCAAGGCTAAGTACAAAGAATCCGTTCAAAAAGTTTATTTAATGTTTTTTATGTGTGACTTTACAGGCAGCTTGACTGTTTCAGAATAACCGGCACTATAGCAGGGTACTGGATTCAAATTCCAAGAGGTCTGGGCAGTAAAATGTTCTTCCAGCAGAGGCCCAAATCTCATGTTTGTGCTTTGACTCCATCAGAGTGCCCCCTTACATTAGGTATCCCCATAAGAGTGCCCCCTTACATTAAGTGTCTCCATCAGAGTGCCCCCTTACATTAGATATCCCCATAAGAGTGCCCCCTTACATTAAGTGTCTCCATCAGAGTGCCCCCTTACATTAGATATCCCCATAAGAGTGCCCCCTTACATTAAGTGTCTCCATCAGAGTGCCCCCTTACATTAGATATCCCCATAAGAGTGCCCCCTTACATTAAGTGTCTCCATCAGAGTGCCCCCTTACATTAGATATCCCCATAAGAGTGCCCCCTTACATTAAGTGTCTCCATCAGAGTGCCCCCTTACATTAGATATCCCCATAAGAGTGCCCCCTTACATTAAGTGTCTCCATCAGAGTGCCCCCTTACATTAGATATCCCCATAAGAGTGCCCCCTTACATTAAGTGTCTCCATCAGAGTGCCCCCTTACATTAGATATCCCCATAAGAGTGCCCCCTTACATTAAGTGTCTCCATCAGAGTGCCCCCTTACATTAGATATCCCCATAAGAGTGCCCCCTTACATTAAGTGTCTCCATCAGAGTGCCCCCTTACATTAGATATCCCCATAAGAGTGCCCCCTTACATTAAGTGTCTCCATCAGAGTGCCCCCTTACATTAGATATCCCCATAAGAGTGCCCCCTTACATTAAGTGTCTCCATCAGAGTGCCCCCTTACATTAGATATCCCCATAAGAGTGCCCCCTTACATTAAGTGTCTCCATCAGAGTGCCCCCTTACATTAGATATCCCCATAAGAGTGCCCCCTTACATTAAGTGTCTCCATCAGAGTGCCCCCTTACATTAGATATCCCCATAAGAGTGCCCCCTTACATTAAGTGTCTCCATCAGAGTGCCCCCTTACATTAGATATCCCCATAAGAGTGCCCCCTTACATTAAGTGTCTCCATCAGAGTGCCCCCTTACATTAGATATCCCCATAAGAGTGCCCCCTTACATTAAGTGTCTCCATCAGAGTGCCCCCTTACATTAGATATCCCCATAAGAGTGCCCCCTTACATTAAGTGTCTCCATCAGAGTGCCCCCTTACATTAGATATCCCCATAAGAGTGCCCCCTTACATTAAGTGTCTCCATCAGAGTGCCCCCTTACATTAGATATCCCCATAAGAGTGCCCCCTTACATTAAGTGTCTCCATCAGAGTGCCCCCTTACATTAGATATCCCCATAAGAGTGCCCCCTTACATTAAGTGTCTCCATCAGAGTGCCCCCTTACATTAGATATCCCCATAAGAGTGCCCCCTTACATTAAGTGTCTCCATCAGAGTGCCCCCTTACATTAGATATCCCCATAAGAGTGCCCCCTTACATTAAGTGTCTCCATCAGAGTGCCCCCTTACATTAGATATCCCCATAAGAGTGCCCCCTTACATTAAGTGTCTCCATCAGAGTGCCCCCTTACATTAGATATCCCCATAAGAGTGCCCCCTTACATTAAGTGTCTCCATCAGAGTGCCCCCTTACATTAGATATCCCCATAAGAGTGCCCCCTTACATTAAGTGTCTCCATCAGAGTGCCCCCTTACATTAGATATCCCCATAAGAGTGCCCCCTTACATTAAGTGTCTCCATCAGAGTGCCCCCTTACATTAGATATCCCCATAAGAGTGCCCCCTTACATTAAGTGTCTCCATCAGAGTGCCCCCTTACATTAGATATCCCCATAAGAGTGCCCCCTTACATTAAGTGTCTCCATCAGAGTGCCCCCTTACATTAGATATCCCCATAAGAGTGCCCCCTTACATTAAGTGTCTCCATCAGAGTGCCCCCTTACATTAGATATCCCCATAAGAGTGCCCCCTTACATTAAGTGTCTCCATCAGAGTGCCCCCTTACATTAGATATCCCCATAAGAGTGCCCCCTTACATTAAGTGTCTCCATCAGAGTGCCCCCTTACATTAGATATCCCCATAAGAGTGCCCCCTTACATTAAGTGTCTCCATCAGAGTGCCCCCTTACATTAGATATCCCCATAAGAGTGCCCCCTTACATTAAGTGTCTCCATCAGAGTGCCCCCTTACATTAGATATCCCCATAAGAGTGCCCCCTTACATTAAGTGTCTCCATCAGAGTGCCCCCTTACATTAGATATCCCCATAAGAGTGCCCCCTTACATTAAGTGTCTCCATCAGAGTGCCCCCTTACATTAGATATCCCCATAAGAGTGCCCCCTTACATTAGGTGTCCCCATCAGAGTGCCCCCTTACATAAAGTGTCTCCATCAGAGTGCCCCCTTACATTAGATATCCCCATAAGAGTGCCCCCTTACATTAGGTGTCCCCATCAGAATGCCCCCTTACATTAGGTGTCTCCATCAGAGTACCCCCTTACATTAGGTGTCCCCATCAGAGTACCCCCGTACATTAGGTGTCCCCATCAGAGTGCCCCCTTACATAAAGTGTCTCCATCAGAGTGCCCCCTTACATTAGATATCCCCATAAGAGTGCCCCCTTACATTAGGTGTCCCCATCAGAATGCCCCCTTACATTAGGTGTCTCCATCAGAGTACCCCCTTACATTAGGTGTCCCCATCAGAGTACCCCCGTACATTAGGTGTCCCCATCAGAGTGCCCCCTTACATAAAGTGTCTCCATCAGAGTGCCCCCTTACATTAGATATCCCCATAAGAGTGCCCCCTTACATTAGGTGTCCCCATCAGAATGCCCCCTTACATTAGGTGTCTCCATCAGAGTACCCCCTTACATTAGGTGTCCCCATCAGAGTACCCCCGTACATTAGGTGTCCCCATCAGAGTGCCCCCTTACATAAAGTGTCTCCATCAGAGTGCCCCCTTACATTAGATATCCCCATAAGAGTGCCCCCTTACATTAGGTGTCCCCATCAGAATGCCCCCTTACATTAGGTGTCTCCATCAGAGTACCCCCTTACATTAGGTGTCCCCATCAGAGTACCCCCGTACATTAGGTGTCCCCATCAGAGTGCCCCCTTACATAAAGTGTCTCCATCAGAGTGCCCCCTTACATTAGATATCCCCATAAGAGTGCCCCCTTACATTAGGTGTCCCCATCAGAATGCCCCCTTACATTAGGTGTCTCCATCAGAGTACCCCCTTACATTAGGTGTCCCCATCAGAGTACCCCCGTACATTAGGTGTCCCCATCAGAGTGCCCCCTTACATAAAGTGTCTCCATCAGAGTGCCCCCTTACATTAGATATCCCCATAAGAGTGCCCCCTTACATTAGGTGTCCCCATCAGAATGCCCCCTTACATTAGGTGTCTCCATCAGAGTACCCCCTTACATTAGGTGTCCCCATCAGAGTACCCCCGTACATTAGGTGTCCCCATCAGAGTGCCCCCTTACATAAAGTGTCTCCATCAGAGTGCCCCCTTACATTAGATATCCCCATAAGAGTGCCCCCTTACATTAGGTGTCCCCATCAGAATGCCCCCTTACATTAGGTGTCTCCATCAGAGTACCCCCTTACATTAGGTGTCCCCATCAGAGTACCCCCGTACATTAGGTGTCCCCATCAGAGTGCCCCCTTACATAAAGTGTCTCCATCAGAGTGCCCCCTTACATTAGATATCCCCATAAGAGTGCCCCCTTACATTAGGTGTCCCCATCAGAATGCCCCCTTACATTAGGTGTCTCCATCAGAGTACCCCCTTACATTAGGTGTCCCCATCAGAGTACCCCCGTACATTAGGTGTCCCCATCAGAGTGCCCCCTTACATAAAGTGTCTCCATCAGAGTGCCCCCTTACATTAGATATCCCCATAAGAGTGCCCCCTTACATTAGGTGTCCCCATCAGAATGCCCCCTTACATTAGGTGTCTCCATCAGAGTACCCCCTTACATTAGGTGTCCCCATCAGAGTACCCCCGTACATTAGGTGTCCCCATCAGAGTGCCCCCTTACATAAAGTGTCTCCATCAGAGTGCCCCCTTACATTAGATATCCCCATAAGAGTGCCCCCTTACATTAGGTGTCCCCATCAGAATGCCCCCTTACATTAGGTGTCTCCATCAGAGTACCCCCTTACATTAGGTGTCCCCATCAGAGTACCCCCGTACATTAGGTGTCCCCATCAGAGTGCCCCCTTACATAAAGTGTCTCCATCAGAGTGCCCCCTTACATTAGATATCCCCATAAGAGTGCCCCCTTACATTAGGTGTCCCCATCAGAATGCCCCCTTACATTAGGTGTCTCCATCAGAGTACCCCCTTACATTAGGTGTCCCCATCAGAGTACCCCCGTACATTAGGTGTCCCCATCAGAGTGCCCCCTTACATAAAGTGTCTCCATCAGAGTGCCCCCTTACATTAGATATCCCCATAAGAGTGCCCCCTTACATTAGGTGTCCCCATCAGAATGCCCCCTTACATTAGGTGTCTCCATCAGAGTACCCCCTTACATTAGGTGTCCCCATCAGAGTACCCCCGTACATTAGGTGTCCCCATCAGAGTGCCCCCTTACATAAAGTGTCTCCATCAGAGTGCCCCCTTACATTAGATATCCCCATAAGAGTGCCCCCTTACATTAGGTGTCCCCATCAGAATGCCCCCTTACATTAGGTGTCTCCATCAGAGTACCCCCTTACATTAGGTGTCCCCATCAGAGTACCCCCGTACATTAGGTGTCCCCATCAGAGTGCCCCCTTACATAAAGTGTCTCCATCAGAGTGCCCCCTTACATTAGATATCCCCATAAGAGTGCCCCCTTACATTAGGTGTCCCCATCAGAATGCCCCCTTACATTAGGTGTCTCCATCAGAGTGTCCCCGTACATTAGGTGTCTCCATCAGAGTGTCCCCATGCATTTCCTCAGCAGGCAGGAGGCAGAGCAGGTCTGGACAGAAGAGGTTACTTTTCCATCCTGTTATACTGGGGGCAGGGCACGCATGTGATGCAATTGGTTGTTAGGACCCCGGTAGTACTAGCAACCAATGACTGCAGAGAAGGGGTGAATCTGTGCTGGGTTATGGTTGGCTGGCACTGGATAAACGTGCTTCAAAGAGTCTCTGAGGCCAGTGCATCCTTTGTTAGCCAGCCAGACATAACCCAGTACAGGTGCGGAAACATGTCTGGCTCATGGTCCACCATCTAGGGATCCCTGCATTATAGAGACATTTAAGGTACACAACTAAAATGTCAGCTGATTTCCGCTGAATTGGTTGAAAGTTTGAGCTCTGGGTGGCCCTGTCAGAACCACCAGGCTTGACAAAAGCTGATTTAAAAATTCCTGGCCAAACAGTGACTGCATCCTATAAGATGCAGTCCCTGTTCGGGTATTTAAACAGCCACAAGTGCCGGCTGTCTGAATATAATAGCCTGCAGATTCCTTCATCCACTCTGCTTAGTGTGAATGGGATATCTGTTGGATTTCTCTCGTTCAAGGATGTTGTGAGTTGGTTAATTTTTTGTGAAAAAGTGAACTAACCCTTTAATATGTAGGTAGGTAATGCACCTAAACCTCCAGCAAGATAATATCGTTGGTTAGACTTAAATCTGAGCATACTTACTTGCTTCCAAGCATAGTGTAGAGGTTTTATACGTCTTTCTATTATAATGATCAGACATCAAGCCCCCGCATGCTGTACTGACCTTGATTCCCCAGCAAGCTCCCACATACTCACTTAAGCTTCCTTTTATGCTATAAACATATTCAAGAAAATCCTTCATATACGTTCAGTAAAGAACCTAAGTAAGATAAAGAGACTTACCTGGAATAAATAACACATCTCCGGCTTCTAAGGTGCACTCATAACGCCTTGCTTGAGAGAAAAGTGGATACTTGGCCAAGTCCGGGTTATCTACATCTAATACCTCAGACTTGTCACCTGGACACGAGATAAAGGGCACGCTTAGAAATCCCCCAAATCTCACATAACAATACAAAGACACAGGGACAGTACATGTGCTAACTATTCTGTGATTAGGATCATGTGATAAACACTATGCATTTCTCAGCTCCAGTTGTCAAATACCCGCAACAGGTCAATTGTTTCAGGATTTCCATCCGATGACACAACTGTCATAATTACTGACCCGGTAACATTAAAGGAGAACTATGAGGTGAGTGCTTTTCACTCACCTCATAGTTCTAGCGGACCTGTGACACTGAGACTGTCACAGGTCGGCTCAGTAGATCGGGAGGTGAGTGAACACATACCGGTGCTCACTCACTTCTCGATCCTGTCACGGCTCTCTGCCGTGACAGGGGGGGGGCTGGATTCCCCTCTCCGATCCTCCAGCACTGATTGGTGGATCGGATGGGGTAGGGGGCTGGTACAGCTGGTTCTGCCTCTAGATAGGCAGAGCCAGCTGTCACTCACGCAGCTGGGCAGATACCGGCACAACGGCGGCGTCTCAGTATACCGCGAGCTGTAGCTCGCGGTATACTGAGCTTAGGGTGACGGGAGGACGCTAGTTTGTGTCTTCCCGTTACCCTTAGGGCCTGTTCACATGATATCAGGTCCGGATCTGCAGACGCGTTGCTACTGATGCAGTGTGTTTTGGCCGCGTTTTTGATGCATTCCAGTAAAAAAAATATATATATTTATTTTTTGCTGGAGTGGGGCTGTTAGTATGTTAGCGGCAGTGCGTTTTTGACGCGTTTCCTGACCATTTCCTGACCGGTCAAAATGTGACATGCAGTATTTTTCTGTCGTAACCTGAACGGACTGCGCATGTGAGAACTGTAGCCCATAAAACACATAGAGATACATTGGGATGCATTTTGAGTGCAGGAGCGTACGGATCAGGTCAGCACAGAAAACGGACGTCGTGTGAACAGGCCCTCAGGAGAACTATGGGGGAAAGCCTTAACCCCATAGTTCTCCTTTAAACAATAAATCACTTTAAAAAAGAAAAAAATCAATTTCCACAAATCCCCCGTCCCATTCCTGACCACTGCTGACAAAGTGCACACAGTACCTCTATTCACCTGAAATGATCTCTGCCAATGCAGTGTTTCTCAGCACCATCACTCTGCATCCCAATCTGAATCCTGCACAAACGGCTGGTGATGGTTTCCGACATGTAGAATAATGGATATCCCCTCCTTCACCTTAGGACACGTGTGATTCAGGTTAGGGATGTAGTGTGACAGGGGTGTTGTAGCAGCACATGGGCAAGCTGGGCACGGAAGAATATCTTTTAATGTGAATACAGGTATAGATGTGATTGACATTTTAGTGCACAGTGTGGGTTCTATTTAAAATACATCTATCCTGTTGCTGTGAAGGATGAAGCAAATCTTGAAAACATGCTACTTGAGTACCGGGGTCATATGCACTGCTGCTCATCAGAACCAATAAGATTTGAGCCTGCACTAGAAAATGACAGCTGTGAATATATAAAACAGAAGGCCCAGAACAAAAAAACTAAACGTACAGTATAATGTTAATTCACTTTTTTTGAAAAAAGTTTAATAATTGAATAATAGGAAACCTGCCTGAAAGTTCTATTTGCCTAGATAGCATTTGATCAGACGATCAGAAAAAGTAATCATGTCAGGAGTTCTGATTACACACGCTATATCCTTTTATATATATATATATATATGTCTGTCTGGCACAGCGTTATTGATGGCAGGATTAGTATGTGAGCGGGATCTTACACAGACAAGCTGATTTAACCCCTTCTGCTACATGAGATACATTGCAGCACAGGAAGCTCTATGTTCAGTTTCAGTGTTACTGATGACATGACTAGTATGTGAGCGGGATGTTATATAGACAAGTTGATTTCACTCTTTCTGCTACATGAGCTACATTGCGCTATGAATAGTTTCTGTCTAATATAGTGCTGTGGATGACAAGACAAGCAGGTGAGTAGAACATTTTCCAGAAACGTTGATTTAACTCTTTGGGGAATATCTTTGTAATATATGTGATGTTATGCTGTGTATTCATTGATTTATCTTCTCATTTTCTATTTTTATTATTCATTTAGATTTCTGGTGGATCTTGCACTTATATTATTGATCAGTGTGTTTGTAGGCATGTAAGGTTATGTTCTGAATGCAGCTTATAAATGATTGTTAGTTTGTGTTTATTTTTGTAAGGTGGTGTACCGCACTGTTATTAGATTTTACTGACTGTACTTTAATGCTGCTGGTTTGGTCATTTTGAGGAGGGATGGTCCCCGATGGTGTGTCAGACCATCAGCATTCCAGTTAAACTGTTGATTAAGCTACAGCTTTTACCACACATGTGTATGGAGGAGAGAGCTGGTTTATATCTCTGAACACACGGGTGTAAGAATCTTATCTTTATGATTAAGCCTTGGTAGGTGAAACGCGTGAGTGTATCTGGGGAGCGTTTGTATGGTGCATCTGTTACTTGCACAGTAATAAAGTGTGGCTTCAAGTTAGAAGATCTAAGGAGTGTGGCTTCTGTTTGTATCAATAGATTGAGTATAGTCTATACCTTATCTACTAAGGCAGCGTGCAGGGGAGACATTAGTGATCTAACAGACACCTGATATTATTATTATTATACAGGATTTATATAGCGTCAACAGTTTGCGCAGCGCTTTACAATATAAGACATTACAATCACAATACAATTCAAGACAAGATGGTGAGGAGGGCCCTGCCCGTATCTCCATAAAGAAGACCTGTAACCTGCATAATGTTATCAAATACGGGGCTTATAAGCCTGACACAGTTTCATCGTTTATATATAGAAACAATTGGGGATTATATTGTGTATGCATGCACTAAAATTAATTTTGATGTGTTTACTGAAAATATAGTGTTAATAAACAGTTGCATGAATATAAAGTGAATGCGTATAAACAATAAAAACTGGTCAGGCAGCGAAAGGGTTAAACTGCAAGTTTTTCTGTCATCTTCTACCCTAGATCTGACTTTACAGTCCATGGACAGTGCGATTCAGCACCACCCATCATTTACAGTACAGCTTTTCTAGTTGGTACCCATTCTGGCAACAAAGACATTCGATTGTAAGCTCTCAGGGCTCTCCTAACCCTCTTGTCTTGAATTGTATTGTAACTGTATTGTCTCCCTTTATCTTGTAAAGCGCTCTGGCACTATATAAATCCTGTATAATAATATTATAACTCTGCCCAACAAATGGTAAAGAACATAACTTGCAATACTAAGATAGCATATTGATTTGAAATAACATCAGTACCTGATAAATATAAAAATGGTGCATCCCGGGGGCTGTACAGGACAACTCTTTTTCTTCCTGTTACCTGGATAAGCAAATTGTCCATCACCTAAAATAGAAGACTCTTCTGTCACTGCTAGAACAGAACTAACATGAACAGGCATATTGCAATATAGCTTTCCTTTCTTATAGAAAGATCTGGAAAAGCAACAATCAAGAGGACACAAAGCCATCTCATGTTCTACATGATGTTGATGATTCTCGTTAGACATTATAAAACAGCTCTAAAAACATTTGTTACACTGTTATCTTCAAAAGCTCCACTTACAGCCCATTGTATTGAAATAGGTCCCTCCACTGTAAGCAATGCACGGCTGAACAAGAGAAATCACTTGATTTCCCCATCCACACTGTTTAGGAGGAATCTCCACCTGCCATTGTATTTTGACAGCCGGAACGCGCAGCTATCTGAATACCCCAACAATGAATGCATCTGAATGCAGTCACTAGTCAGCTGCCAGTTTTCCATCCAGTTCCTTCAATTTTGTATGGCTCAAATTTCAGCTGATTCAGCAGGAATTTATAGAAATTTGTGCTGTATATGGCCAGCTTTACACAGATGGTTTGAGTGAATCAGCAAAGATTGTGAGATGCTGTATACACCCGGAAGTTGGGGCATTCACTTCCCACCTGCCATGTACAAATACCCTTACCTTACTGGAGAGCCTTATCTGTATAAGTTTCCCAGCACTGCCATCTGCAATTGTGTTGAGATTTTTTTTTATGATTCTGATCTATTCAACCATGACATGTTGAAAAGAAGGAGTAGCCACACACAGGTTCTAATTCATCTAATCCAGCTATTTTACATATATGTTTGACTTTTAGAGCCATTGGGAACACATATTAATTATGATGAATAATAAATACTAAACATTTTTAAGCATTTTGTGTATATGGAAAGTTTTCTGCCCTGGGATCTTCATTAAGGCTCATTCACACGAGAAACGGCTGGCACGTAAAGCTCCGTGCTGCGTGCACGGCCGTATCGGGCAGCTCCCAGGAAGGACAGTTGCTGCGTGCCATTAGTACGCAGCTCCCGTCCTTCTCTATGGGAGTACGCGGCCATACGCTGCTCTAATCCCACGCTCGCCTTGCACGTCCGTGCGGGTGTCCGTACTTGTAAGCTGACAGGATGGATCCTGTCTGCGTCCAAACCGGGATACCCGCACGGACATGCACTTGAGGTGAGCCTAGGGCGGCAAACTCCCATAGAGAAGGACGGGAGCTGCGTACTAATCACACACAGCACCTTTCCTTCCTGGGAGCTGCCCGATACGGCCGTGCACGCAGCACGGAGCTGTATGTGCCGGCCGTTTCTCGTTTGAATGAGGCCTTAGAGGGTGATTGTTGCTTTTTCTGATATATTTTGAAGGAGTTATACTCAGGACTGAAAAACAAGCAAGGTAATAATATATACTATATAAGTAAATGATTATTTAAGGATTGTTACCCACTAGTTGCCCTCTTTTCTAGAAATAGTTACATTTCTAATTCATCTAATCCAGGTATTTCACATATGTTTGACTTTTAGAGCCATTGGGAACCCATCCAAGCGTATGCTGTCCTTTCCCTAAAGCCCATTTCTACCTTTGCAGAGGCAGAGCTGGTGTTTAGTGACCGTGTTACACAGAATCACAGGGAGGGGGCAGCTGTTTAAAGCCTGCTTTACAATCCCACCCCAGTGTCAGACTGAGTTTCCTCTGGAGAAAATGCTAATCACTTACAAAAGTGGAAATAGACTTACATTCTCCTTATGCCATCAGTTTAGATGCTAATGGTGCTTTCAGAAATAGTTATACATGGTTCTGCGCACACACAACTGTTATGGTGTAACACAGGGCTCAAAATTTCCACTCGCCCCCTCGCAATTGGCGAGTGAAAATTGCGTGGGAATACTTATATCTTTAGAGAAAGAACATACATCATAGTGTGTCCAGAGCTGCAGCCCCGGAGAGCTGATACGGAACACGCTGGAGAAGAACTGGTCTTTCTCAAAAAATTCAGGAATCGTGATGTCTGCTGCCAGCTCCGGAAACTGCTTGTTGATGTCTGCAATATCCTGTGCAAAGGGATAATATAGTACAACATTAGCTGCACGTACAGTACATAGAAACATATAAAAACCTAGAACGCTAAACCAGTTCACTCCCATAATCTGTATAATAACATTTACCGGTGTGATGTGGGCATCCCTAGAAGCAAGGTGCACTATTACGTTAATATCAAAACACAACCTCTGTAGTTGACATTTGAACTACCTCCTTTTGCCCCATTACATTCCTACTGCCCACAAATTGGAAAAAAACAGCCTCACTGGCCAATAGGAATGCACAATGGGCAGAAGGAGGTGCGCCAAATATTGTGAATAAAAGGTTATGGTTGCTATTTGTTTTTTAGAGAACCCCGGATTTGTGGATATTTGGGTGCCCTAAAGATAAAGCCACCATGCAGCAGGCACCTGGAGAATCTAGCTCTATGGATCTGGTGCCAGCTTAAAGAGTAAAGTTCACAGGTTTGAGCATCTTATACCTACCAATATGAAATGCATTGTTCTGCCCTCTGCCTTTAAAACCTTCCTGTGATTCAGCTTCTGCTTAGTCCTTTGTCCGAATACAATAGCCCAGCAGGTGGAGAATCTTCTATCTATGCTGTTTAATGTGGATGGGGGAATTGAGCATGTTTTTCTCATTCAGGCAGCGGGGCTGAGCCAGAAAAATGGTAAAGTGTGTGGCCATGTTAAGTGTGGCCAAAAATGGGCTGACATTTACAGATGATGATTCCATTTTCAGGGCAGGTTCACACCATTTTCTGGGCCAGATCTGAAACGCAGTGCATTGCGTTTTTGCTGTGATTGTCACGTTTGGAAAAAAATTTTTGCTTAACCACTTGCCGTCCGCCCGTTGTAAAAAAACGGATGGACGGCAGCGCACGCGCAATTTTAAGGCTTGACATTTTAAGCAATTTTAAGGCTTGACATGTTTGGTGTCTTTTTAACCGACGTGACCCCGTCTTTTATATTTTACCAAAAAATTGGGTAATAATAAATGTTTTATCATTTAATATAGGGGAAACTTTTTTTTTTTTTAAATTTTGGTAATTTTTCCTTAATATAGTAAAAAAATAAACCCCCCAGTGGTGAATAAATACCACCAAAAGAAAGCTCTATCTGTCCCCAAAAAAGGGTATAAAATTCATTTCAGTACAGCGCTGCATGACGGAATAAATGTCAGTCAAAGTACCGCAGCGCTGAATACTGAAAAATGGCCTGGATGGGAAGGGGGTTTAACACCGCGGATGTCAACTGGTTAAAATAGTCATACAGGTGCGTTCCAGTGCGTTTGTATGCGTTTTGGATGCATTTTTGATGCGTTCAAGTGCATTCCACACCAGACAAAATAGGACAAGCAGTATTTTTCTGGTCTGGAACAGACTGTGCTGGTGTGAACAGAGGCCAGAAATAGCATAGGGATACATTAGGATGCATTTTAGGTCCGGAAACAATCTGGTCTGGTCTGGAGATGATCTGGACATGGTGTGAATGGGCTGATCGAAGCGCTGAAAAACGCCCAGGTGTGAACCCAGCCTTACAGTTCATACAATTCCCTTTCCATCGTGTGCTTACTTTTTACCTTGCGAGGGTCTTCACCCAAAGATCGGAGGTAGTATTTCTCATCCTAATAAAAAAGAAAAAACTTGATAGAGTTATATAGACTAGCCAAAGTACACATCACTCCTAAACATCTAAAATACCATATACAGGTGAAACTCGAATAATTAGAATATCGTGCAAAGTTCATTTATTTCACTAATGCAACCTTAGAAAGGTGAAACTAATATATGAGAGACTCATTACATGCAAAGCAAGATAATTCAAGCCGTGATTTGTCATAAGTGTGATGATTATGGCTTACAGCTCATGAAAACCCCAAGAACCCCAAATCCACAACCTCAAAAAAGTAGATTATTACATGCAATCAATAAAACAAGGATTGTACATAGAACAATATCGGACCTCTGAAAAGTACAAGCATGCATATGTACTCAGTACTTGGTTTGGGCCCCTTTTGCAGCACTTACTGCAATTACTTTTGCATGATATTCTAATTATTCGAGTTTCACCTGTATGAGTCAGACTCACAATATGATGGCACATACAGTATAGACAATAGAGCTGGACTCTTACATACTATATATTCCCCAACCTGACATTTGCTTTGTAAAACAGCACTGCAAAATGGAGCACGGCATGGTAAAAACAAGGTGTGACCTAAATATAATTACAAAATTGCCTGCCTAGAAATTTGGATTTATGGCAGGTTTAGCAAATATTTTTCTGCACTTGCAGCATTTTTAAACAGACATTACAATACATTACAATGTGCATGTATTGCAGTGATTTTTTTGCCCAGACATACAGTACATTTTAAGGGTAAAGGGGTTTTTCTTTTGGCAAACTTCAAGTATGACAAATGACTAACTGAGTCCCAAAACATATCAATTGTAAAGAATGGAGCTTTCTGTATCAGTTGGTGCAACTTATTTATATAGAAAATAAAAAGAGCTATTTTAAGGTGACACGTAACTCAGGAGTTAAACCTTAAAAATGCATTCAAGTACCTTAACTATTAACAAAAAGGTAACTTATTTGTGTATCACTCAGCTGTAGATCCTCAAATCAGCTCCGTTGCCCCTCCATAGAGTGGAGTCACCCTGAGATAGAAGGTGTGTTACTGGCTGGATCACCAGGTGAAAATAAAGGGGAAAAAACCCTAAAAAAGAAGACTAATGCAGCCACCACATTTAAGGATTGGTAACCTGCATTATATTTAATATTGTTTTTTCGGGTTTACAGACATTTGAAGCAAAGTCCTGTACAAAGTAGCCTATGCTTACATGACAATCCCTGCAACATCACTTCTAAAGTTTAGAACTACCTCAGAGATAAAGAAGTCTGTGTGCTTATCCTCGGCTGCTCTATGTATAAAGACATCAAATGGAAGTGATCTGAAATTCAAAAACAAAGAGGACAAATCAAAAACTACTATAATTCAGTGGACTGCATGTAGGTTTTTGGTGTATTTTAGAAAGATTTGAAGGTTTTATGGACCCTCACCTGTATAAGAAATTCTTCTTAATAAAGTCTAGCTGTGGTGTCTCAGACACGTGGACCTTTACTTCACGTTCTCCTCCCTTATTGCTCATATAATCCAAGGTCCATTGTGTTCTACACACTCCCAGGTCCAGGTCTTGTAACACAGCTGGCTTCCTCTAGAAAGTGAACACCTAAAATGTCAGTTAGGTCTCAAGGTAGACACATATACAACCATATCAGGCGATTTAAAATAGCTTCATATCACAACAATGACCACCGGCATGAATGTCACCTACCACTGACCTTTCCATGGACACTGTGTACTGATTGAACTGTTGGTTTTATTTTTTTGTTCATCAGTTTGATTATTGTTACAACTGAAAGCTTGCTGGTAGTGGCGAAAAACAAACAAACTGTTTAGTGCAATGTGCACAGGAAGAGTAAAGCTGCTAAAAGGGCCTCACCATAAGCATGAAGGGCTGCATGTGGTCCTTATGCCACAGGTTGAGCAGCAGGGTTGCCAGGATCTGTTCTCGGAGCAAACAAGCTAAGACTTTAATGCCTGTGTTGTGACATTTGGAAGTGGACTTCTCTACAATGCTTAAAGGAGAACTATGAGATGAGTGCTTTTCACTCACCTCATAGTTCTAGCCGACCTGTGACAATGAGACTGTCACAAGTCGGCTCAGTAGATCGGGAGGTGAGCGAACACATACCGGCGTTCGCTCACCTCTCGATCCTGTCACGGCTCTCTGCCATGACAGGGGGAGGGGCTGGATTCCCCCCTCCCCGCTCCGTGCCTCTAGATAGGCAGAGCCAGCTGTTAGTCACGCAGCTGGGCAGATCTCGACATCGATGTCGGGATCTGCTCCGGCTGCGGCGTCTCAGTATACCGCGTGCTGCAGCTCGCGGTATACTGAGCCTAGGGGGACGGGAGGACGCTAGTTTGTGTCCTCCCGTTACCCTAAGGAGAACTATGGGGAAAAGCCCTGACCCCATACTTCTCCTTTAAAGATACAGAGATTCAGGTTTATTCTAAAATGTAAATGTCAACTTCATTATTTTTAAATCTGGAGCTTTCAATAAAATAATACCTGGTGATCCGGTCATGAAGCTCTTTGATCAGACACTCTATCCCTGTCTCCTAAATGTGCTCCTTTGTTGTCACCCTGTGACATGGACTCCTGATGGAGAATACAAGTGGCTGTGTTAGCCCACTGTTGTCACCATCAGGAAACCCCCATCAGAAATGCTTGATGCCACCACTGGAGTGCATCTTGGTAGGAGGTGGCTGTAAAGAGGCTGCAGGAGATCTGGAGCACTGAGATGTATCAAAGGTTGAAATAAAGGTGAAAACAAGTATTTTATAGCAAAAATATGATTTTATAGTTCTTTATAAGGAAGGGATACAAGGAACTTTAGTAAACTGTCATTCAGTTAGGGTTTACATCTGCTTTAATGCAGAGAGTGAGCTGACATATTGGTTAACAATACTAATGGGGACAGGTGCCAGGGACCTTCTAAATTGCTTTGTATATTTCCCTGCTCAAGTGAATTTTTCAATTTTTTGCTAATTTCAAAACAGACCAGTGTGGCTGCAATGTTTGATTTCAGCGGATTTGCTGCAGACACACTAAGCCTGCAATCACACCTGAGCGACGTGAAATATGCGCGTTTTCAAGTTTCATTTGTGCAGCACGTTTTTGCATATTGTTACGCGTCTAAAATGTGCATAGCTCATGACGCACGTATTTATGAGCAAATTGTAACACATTGATATTAACTGGTAAACGCGTGTTTGTGCGCATTTCCATCAAAGCCTATGGGGCCATGAAGCGCAGAAAAAAAAGAAGCTCACGTACTTTCTGCAAGCGACAGGCGTTTTGCTACAGGCGCCAGCACCAGAACACGTAGTAAAACAATGCCTGTGTTCTGGTCCAGTGCAATCTGAAAAAATGCTGCAAGTACTAATTTTTCAGATCGCACTGGACTGCAACCGAGGGTATTCCTGTACCTCACGTTCCGGTGCGGGCGATTGCTCTGCGGGCATGCGGGGCCGTGCCTATGGTACCATTGACATGAATGGCACCGCCACACCCCCTCCTACCCCTGAAAGCAGGAACCCGTCCGGGATGCGCTCCAGTGCTTTCCAGCAGCGAATCGTGCTGGAACGCACCGGAGCTGGTGTGACAGGGCCCTTAAGGAGGATAAAGCTTCTTCTAGTTGAGTCTGCTCTCTGTTTGTGCATTGCTATATATGTCCCATATTTGGGAAGTCAGACAGTGTAGAGATAGGGACCACAACTATCAGAGGTGCCTTGACGTGGCAGTGTGGCTTCCACATGTATTTGCAAAGGTATGCAACAAAAACCTCTGTTTTTCAACCTTGGTAATTCAATCAGTTTAATCAGATTTTTTGCTAGCTGTGCCAGGGACCCTCTGTAAGGTTTTCTAACCTGCCCAATGGAAGCTCCCCATGTGGCCTCCCATCTCAGACTCCAATCCCACCAAAACATCTGGATCGGGTTTTCTTTACACTTACCAAGGGGTAAATTTCCAGAAGAAATCTATCTTTATCTACACCTGAGTACCTCGGCAAAGGGATTTTTGTTGGTTTAAACTCCATAACATCTGTCTAAAGACATAAAACAAAGACAGTTCAGTAGTTGTTCAACAGTAATACTTAAAGTGTTTGTCAAGCAGAGAATGGGGAACATCTGTAAAAGATCATTTAAGGGAACTAGTCTTGCTGTATTTTTCTTGAAGACATTCCGATGGTCATCCGACTAGCTTTTTCGATTTTGAAGTTATAGAATTGAGAAAGCTGGTCGGATGACCAGCAAAACGTCTTCAAGAAAAATACAGCAAGTCCAGTTGCCTTGATTTATTTTTTACAGATATACCATGACCTGGATGAATGAGAACCTTCACAGACACAGAGAATGAGGAAGGATTAGATCTCCTGACTGGTTTTTACCACTAAGGAAAGGTGGAGATGAGGCACTGCATATGGATCCCTGACAGGTAAAAAAAAAGTCCTTAATAAAACCACAGGGGTAGTGTTCAGCAGCTCTCCACACAACAGGTCTCTCTCACCACAGAGGTCACCCAAACTGAGCAGCGAACACATATGTCAAGAGAGCACCAAATCTTGATGAAGGGGGATTGCTGAGTAGTGATGGGCTCGGGCATGTTCGCAAGCGCCTCGTGCAGAGCCCGCCAGCACACAGGGCCAATCACAGGCACTGAGACATGTTCCCAGTCCGCAGCTGCAGAGATCGGGAAATGTCTCAGTGCCTGTGATTGGCCCTGCGCGCTGACAGCTTTCCGACGGGCTCGGCACGAGGCGCTTGGGAACGCGCCCGAGTCCATCACTATTGCTGAGCCCATAAAACATGTTGGCTCAGCCTATGTGCATCTTCAGTAAGTAAGTTTACAATCCTCTATACCGATATGGTTATTAGGAGTGGGATATTCAATATAGAAATACATATTTATTTTTTGTTTTTGACCATAGATACCCTTAAGAATGCTTGGTGTCCTCTGTGGTTGACATATAATTCGGTTTTAACTAAAATCTGAGTCCCTGCTAGAGAGATTTTCTCCTACTTTCTGTCCTAGTGAAAAAAAAAAAAAAAAATAAAGCTCAAAGAACAGAGGCCCGCAGACCCCTTTCCTAAGACATTTTACAGTACAACCATATGGGCCACAGTATCATTGGCTGCTAAGGTCTACAACATTGCAACCAGCCATAAGGCTGGGTTCCCACCTGGGCGTTCAAAATATGTGCGTATGACGCGCGTTTCGGGCCACGCATTTTTACCGTGATTTGCGGTCCACGAAACGCGTGGAAATACGCCCCAAAGAAGCTCCTATACTTCTTTGGGCGTAGGGCGTATTTCAGCGCGGCCTGCTGTGTTGACATTCAGCTGCCTCAGCAGGCAGCAGTCATTCCCCAGTGAAGTTTGAAAGGTGTTGTGGTGCCATTAGTTTGAATGATATCCCAAACGCCCTTCCTGCCTGCAGTGTGATCACCTGCACTGGAATGCGCAGTACTGCAATGCCATGCGTTCTAGTGCGGCGCGAGTGCAACAACTGTGCATACAGTTTTATTCTGAAGTAAACTTAATGTTTGTAACACTCCATTTGTGTATTTTATTTTAAAGGAGAACTATGGGGTCAGTGTTTTTCGCCATAGTTCTCCTTAGGGTAACGGGAGGACACAAACTAGCGCCCTCCCGTTACCCTAAGCTCAGTATACCGCGAGCTACAGCTCACTGTATACTGAGACGCCGCAGCCGGAGCGGATCCCAACTTAGATGACGGGATCCGCCCAGCTGCGTGACTGACAGCTGGCTCTGCCTATCTAGAGGCAGAGCCAGCTGTACCCGCCCCCTCCCCCGTCCGTTCCGCCAGTCAGCGCTGGCAGATCGGAGCGGGGAGGGTGGAATCCAGCCCCTCCCCTGTCACGGCAGAGAGCCGTGACAGGATCGAGAGGTGAGCGAACCTGGTATGTGTTCGCTCACCTCCCGATCTACTGAGCCGACCTGTGACAGTCTCATTGTCACAGGTCGGCTAGAACTATGAGGTGAGTGAAAAGCACTCACCTCATACTTCTCCTTTAAATGAAAGATGGTATTTTTTTTATCTGATTAATCGAAAAAATAACCAGCCAACTAATTGATTATGAAAATAATTGTTAGTTGCAGCCCTAGTATTTTGTAGATTTAACTCCTGAGTTTAGTGTCACTTTTATAGGTGTTCCAACCCCTCCCCCGCTCTATCCAAAACTAGAAAAAACAGTGTTGTCTACACATGCACATAGAAGCTGAACTCGGGGATGAAAAACATTCACCCTGACAGTGGGTCTCCCTCCAGACTTTAAAGGAGAACTATGAGGTGAGTGCTTTTCACTCACCTCATAGTTCTAACGAGCAGAAGTCTTAGCTTCTGCTCGCGGTATACTGCGGCGTCTCAGTATACCGCGAGCTACAGCTCGCGGTATACTGAGCCTAGGGTGACGGGAGGACGCTAGTTTGTGTCCTGCGGTTACCCTAAGGAGAACTATGGGGAAAAGCCTTAACCCCATAGTTCTCCTTTAAGGGTTAACTGCTCATTTTGCCTAGGGAATAAGGTCATATACAGCTGTGGTTCTCAACTCATGGGTCGCGACCCAAAAGTGGGTCGCGCCCCAAAAGTGGGTCGCGAGCCCTTCTGCAGTGGGTAGCGGCGCCATCACGGCAATCACGGGTCGCCATCACGGCAGCATCACGGGTCGCGGCACAATCACGGCAGGCTTGTATTAATGGATAGAAAGCCTGCCGTGATTGGCTCAGCGCTGAGCCAATTACGGCAGGCTTTCTATTCATTCATACAGGCTTTGTATTAATGAATTGGCTCAGCACTGATTGGCTCAGCACTGAGTCAATCACGGCAGACTTGTATTAATGAATAGAAAGCCTGCCGTGAGTGACTCAGCAGAAGACGGAGGACACAGCGGGGATCGTAGACAAGGTAAGAGACTGTATTCCCGATTGTGGCTCGGGGTTACTGCTTATGTTACTGAAAATTAACCCCGAGCCACACTCGGGAATACCGCCATGGATGTTAGTGGGTGCATTTAAACATTATTTTGGGCTATACTCGTCTTATATGACGAGTATAGCCCAAAACCTATATTTTTTACACAAAAAGTGGGGGGTCGTCTTATACGCCGTCAAATACGGTAATAACTAATAGTAATTTCTGTCCCGGCTGCAGTATTAATCTACCCCAAGGATAATTTATTATTGCTGCGGGTAAGGGGGTGATTATTATTGCTGCATGGGGTTTTTTTTTTTAAATTAACTCCTGCCTAAAAACAATTCTCCCCCAGGCAGCGATAATAATTGCCCCCCTTCCCCGCAGCAATAATAAATTATTATTGCTGCGGGGAAGACTAGGTTTCTAGTTACGCCTCTGCTGTGTAGTGCTGACTTTTCTACTTGCAACAGAGTCCCTGCTAATGCCCCCTACATACCCCCCCTTCTGCAATGACAGGAGACATTATGACAGGGGACGCTGATGAACATTATGTATTCCAAGCCCACACAATGCCCACCAGTGTCCCCTGTCATATTGTCTCCCGTCAGTGCAGAAGCTGGGGGGGGTGTGTTGGAGGGGGCTTTAGAAGGGCTGTGCTGCAAGTTTTCTACTTGCAGTGAAGCCCCTGCTAATGCCTCACCAGCTTCTGCACTGCCAGGAGACATTGTGACAGGTGACACCTGCTCCTTTGGGGGACCTGAGACCATGGCAATATGGATGGAGCTCTGTCACAGCACTGCAGCCCCCACTGGACCTCAGGCTGAGGATCCACCACAGTTCTCGATATGATAGGGAGACTGGGTGGATCTTAAAAAAAGGAAATCAAATGTATTTTATTGTGAAGTGTGTATGTGTGTGTGTGAGAGATTGTGTCTGTGGTTGTGTGTGTCTGACAGTATTTTTGAGGGTCCGTTCACACTAGTACAGAGCGTTAATTGCACAGTCCATTGCGATTACTGCATTGTACCACGCAAAAATCGCACCTACCGCAAATTCTGGTGTGGGAGTTGTGTTGCATTGCCATTCATTTGAACGGCACCCCAAACGCATCTCCTGTCCACAGTTTGATTGCCCGCATCGGAACGTGCGGTACCGCAATGCCGTGCGTTCCAATGCGGTGCGACTTGGGTCGCGACTTAATGACCAAGGACAAATGTGGGTCCTGAGGTTACACAGGTTGAGAACCACTGATATACAGTATACTTGCCTTATTCCTCCCTCCCCGGCAAAGGGAAATGGCTTCTGGGACTGGTCGTGCAGAGTGGAGGAAGCTGCATGAGTGAGGAATAAGCAAAGTGCATCTTATTCATCATCCCCTTAGGGCAAACCAAGCAGTTAACCCTTGCATTGTGCAGGGGGACACATTACAGGGGTACAGTTTTTTTATTTATCAGAGTTCAGCTTTAAATACTACAAAGTCTGATTATCAGCCGTTCTCTAATCTGTGACACCACTGCCCAGCACCAAGTTACCTTCCACAGCGTGTCCCTGGCAGCTCACTTCCTCTTCACAGCCCCGTCCACACAGCGTATACTGTCAGTGCTAGAAGGGCTGTGATTGGCTGACAGTCGCCATCACTCTATGTGTTCAGGGGCTCTTTAATAATTAAGAATAGTGGAGTCAGTTGTCATCCAGGAAGTTGTTTATATAATTTCTAATACATAACTTTAACATTAAGGTTATATATTTTGCTATATTGCGTTCCATTTACTGAATAGGTATCAAGTAACAAACGGACCCTTTGAACCGTGGATAGTGTTTCTCGGGGACAGATTAGGACAGTGCGCACGATGTGGAGTACAGCGCTTCGACTTTCATTGTGTCTAAGGCGACCGATTTTTATATGTCGTCCTGTGCTGCTTCCACTCCTCCACCGACCGGCGGAGCAGCTATGTGCCAAGCGGGGGTACAGCAGTCAGGGGCCGCCAGAGATGGAGAAAGTGGTTGTCGGCGTCCCTAAACCTTTCATTCGGCTGCGAGCCGAAATCTTCTTCTTCTTAATCAGGAGCTTCCTAGACCAGGACTTCAACCTCAAGGAGTTCAGCGAGGGGGCCAGACAAGTAAGATGCTGCTGTTCTTCTTTCTTCATCTTCCTCCACACCTGTACCTACTCCGCCTCTGTACCTTATTATTATTCTTCCTCCACATCTGTACCATCTTCTTTCTTCACACCTGTACTAGGGCTGCAACAACTAATCGATTAAATCGATTATAATCAATAATGAGAATAGTTGGCAACGATTCTCATCATCGATTAGTTTCTTTTCGATTAGTTGCCAACGCTCTGCACCTCCGTTCTCCCCGCTGGTGCTGGCTGCAGCAGTCTGTGTCCCTTTCAATTCCCGCTGCTCTCCCCGCCTGTATCGGCAGAGGCAGTGGGGACACAGACCGCTGCAGCCCGCACCAGCAGGGAGGAGATACTGCTGTAACTGCATTCCCCTTCTTCTCCATCAGGTCCCTCCTCTGCTAATTGACAGCAGGTAGTGGGCGGGTGCAATAGCCAGCCTGCTATTGCAATTTGAAATATCCAATAGCAGGCTGGCTATTGCTCCCAGCAATAAAGTAAAAAACTAAAGTTTAAAAAAAAGTTAAATCAACTAAAATTAAAAAGACTAAAACATTTTTAAAAACTTAAATTAAAAAAAATTTAAAATGCAAACAAATTAAAATAAAGTTAAACAAATTAAAAATAGAAAAAAAAAAAATGGGTGTGTTATTTTAAAAAGAAAGACATTTTCAGTTTTGGCCTGACAAATTTTGCTGCAGGAGGTGCGTTGCGGTGCCATTCATTCCAATGGATCCTAAATGCACCTCCGCAGTGTGATTGCCCGCACTGTGTATTTTATTTTAAATAAGTGACGGTATTCATTTTTATTTTATTAGATTAATCTAAGGTAATAATCGGCCAACTAATCGATTATGAAGACAATCGTTAGCTGCAGACTTAATCTGTACCGTCTTCTTCCTCTTCCACACCTGTACCCTCTTCTTTTTCTTCCTTCACACCTCTACCATCTTTTTCCTTCTCCACACCTGTTTCCTTTTCATCCTCCTCCATGCCTGTACCCCCTTCTTCCTTCTCAACACCTGTACCCTCTTCGTCCTACTTTACACCTGTACCTTCACAATCCCTCGCACCAGTATCCTCCTCCACGCCTGTACCCCCTTCTTCTTTCTCCATCCTTCTCCCCTCTTGGCATTGCAGAACACAAGTGAAATAACTAAAAGCACTGTTAAAGGAGAACTATGGGGTCAGGGCTTTTTCCCATAGTTCTCCTAAGGGTCACGGGAGGACATATACTAGCGTCCTCCCGTCACCCTAAGATCAGTATACCGCGAGCTGCTGCTCACTGTATACTGAGACTGCCGCAGTCAGGACAGATCCCGACATTACTGTCGAGATCCACCCAGCTGCGTGATTGACAGCTGGCTCTGCCTTTCTAGAGGCTGTGCCTGCCCCCTCCCCCATCCATTCCGCCAGACAGCGCTGCAGGATTGGAGCGGGGAGGGGAGGATCCCTGCAGGGAGCCATGTGTGACAGTCATGGCTCTATGCAGGGACATGAGCGAGAAGTGAGCGAGCGACGGTATGTGTTCGCTCACTTCCTGATCTATTGAGGCGACATGCGACAGTCTCATTGTCACACGTCGGCTCGAACTATGAGGATAAGTGAAAATCACTCGCCTCATAGTTCTCCTTTTATTTAATATCAAAGTGTCATTATGACATAGCAAAGTGTTAGCATGTTACTTACATTTAAGCATCAATTCAATCTCTCCACAACATCATTTATGTGACCTGGTGCCCAAAACTGAACTGCAGATTCCAGATGAGGTCTTACTAATGCTTTGTACAGCATTAAGATGATGTCTCTATCTCTCTGGAGTCTATACCTCTTTTAATACAATACATTATTTTGGGAGATTAAGTCGGTGTTTTCAGTGTGCTCGGGGAACCAAAGCCAAGAAATCCTTTTCTTAAATCTAGAATTGGCTGCGCTAGGAGACAGTGGCGTAGGATTTATCCCCAAGGTTTGAACTCAGAAGGATGAGAGTTATGACTGGCTGTTCCCCTTTAGCAGAGATTACTTTAGATCATTTGGTGTCAGTAATGTTCTCTCTGCTGTGAAATTATCGTGATTTACTAACACCGGTGGTTTTCATCTTTCCTTTTCAGGCTATCTCATTTGTTTCTAGACTGCTGTCTCAGCGCAAATTTGATGAATTAGAAAATCTTGTGGCCAAGGAGGTAAGTTTTTATACTGCATTCATGTGAGATCTGTTGCATCTTACAGTGCACATAGTTTGTCCATAGACCCATATTCCTGGCTTCTCTTAGCTGGTAGGGCTATATAGTGGTGCATGATGCTTGAAGAGGAACTCTTTGACGTCTTCCGTCAAACAAGCAGGCTGGAAAACCCGCCGGGAATCGTATGATTCTCGGCGAGTTAGGGGCCTGCTTGTTCGACAACTGCCGAACGGGCCGGTGTGCGCACGTGCACAGTGCCCGTTTGCAGTCATCGGAAGCCGCCACTCATTGCAGTCATCGGAAGCCCGCCCCTCAGGGGGCGGGCTTGCGATGATCGCAAGTACAATCTGCCCGTCCAAGGTGGGCAGATCGTACGTTTTTTTAAGTACTTTACAACCCTCGCAAGACAAAAGTCTTGCAAGGGTTGTACAGTGTATGGCTACCTTTTAGAGTTGAGTTTTCCTTTAAAGCAAATTTAGAGGCTTTCCTTCTTTGTACTGTAACTTTCTGGTGGCGAATAAATGTTTTGTGAAGAAGATACCTCCAATATCGGCAGTTCTTTCAGAATTTTCATTGGTAGATTTTATATACATGCTTAACCATGGAATAAGTTTCCAAAATGCACCCTAACTTTTTCCATATCATGTTATACCCAAATCCTTTGTTCTCAATTTTAAAGGTAAATGCTTTAAAGCAGGATTTTTTTTTTATTAACCCTTGCAAGTGGGGCTACCCCCGCACTGCAAGGGTTAAACTCTAGCTCCCCAATCCCGGCAGCACTCATGCAGCCCCAGACCATGACACTCCCACCACACGCTTGACACCATCTGAACCAAATAAGTTTATCTTGGTCTCATCAGACCACAGGACATGGTTCCAGTAACTATGTCCTTAGTCTGCTTGTCTTCAGCAAACTGTTTGCGGGCCTTCTTGTGCATCATCTTTAGAATTGGCTTCCTTCTGGGACGACAGCCATGCAGACCAATTTGATGCAGAGTGCGGCATATGGTCTGAGCACTGACAGGCTGACCCCCCCACCCCTTCAACCTCTGCAGCAATGCTGGCAGCACTCATCTGTCTATTTCCCAAAGACAACCTCTGGATATGATGCTGAGCACGTGCACTCAACTTCTTTGGTCGACCATGGCGAGGCCTGTTCTGAGGGGAGCCTGTCCTGTTAAACCGCTGTATGGTCTTGGCCACCGTGCTGCAGCTCAGTTTCAGGGTCTTGGCAATCTTCTTATAGCCTAGGCCATCTTTATGTAGAGCAACAATTCTTTTTTTCAGTTTCTCAGAGAGTTCTTTGCCATGAGGTGCCATGTTGAACTTCCAGTGACCAGTATGAGAGTGAGAGCGATAACACCAAATTTAACACACCTGAGAGCTTGTAACACTAACGAGTCACATGACACCGGGGAGGGAAAATGGCTAATTGGGCCCAATTTGGACATTTTCACTTAGGGGTTTACTCACTTTTGTTGCCAGCGGTTTAGACATTAATGGCTGTGTGTTGAGTTATTTTGAGGGGACAGCAAATGTACACTGATATACAAGCTGTACACTCACTACTTTACATTGTAGCAAAGTGTCATTTTCTTCAGTGTCTTCACATGAAATGATATCATAAAATATTTACAAAGATGTGAGGGGTGTACTCACTGCTGTGAGATATTGTATGTATATATATATTGTATATATTTGTCTGGGGGGAAAGAATGTTTAAAGATCCATGGGAAAATGTGTCCAGGCCTACTAAAAGCTGTCATTGTTATATAGAAAGTCTTCCTTTAGTCACTGTTTTTTTAATACTTATATCTAGGTCCACATTATCTTCCCACAATCCCAATATATATTAGAAATCAGACTAGAAGTAGGAGGTTATGCTGCGAGAGCCAGTGAGGCTTTATTGCTTTGCACAGTGCTGCCAGTCTGTATGTAGAAAAGAACATTTTTAATTGCCAGTAATTACGTTTTTTTTTTTTTTCGTTTTTTTCTGTGGCAGATCCTGACGGACTTGAAAGAAAAATGTTCAGTACTGTCTGACAACTACAGGAAAGCTCTGCTAGTCGAGTCAGATGAAATAAAGGGCTTGTCTCCTTGGAATGTTAATGTACAGTACGACAATGGTATGTGTAGTATGGTTCAATTTCATGTTATTCATCCAGTTTTTAGTTTTAAATTTAGGTCATCAAAACGCATTATAAATGTGATCAGGTTTAGCCTGCCAAAGCTTTGATTTCTTGTTGTTTGTATTGCACTTGGGTTCCCAGTTCATTTATCTATATGGAAGAACGAAGGATCAAATGTAGCTCTAGTGTACAGTTGCCATTGACACACACATACCCCCCCCAGCTGTGTACAAATACAGAAGCATGTACATCCTAAATATCTGGATGGTACTGTGTTCAGCTGGTCTGCTAATATCTAAGAATAATGTGTGTGTATAGATAGATAGACATATACTAGATATAGCAATGTTACACAGATAAGTTTGATTTTAAAACTGCATTGCTTCAAACATTTTGACTGCAATGACAAGCAGTTCGACTCCTATGTTGTTTTTTTGGAGTCCACTTGCAGTCCTTGAGATACAGAAAAATTAAATCCTGTTACTGTTGTCTGAGACATACAAAAGTACATGGAACCTGGCATCTCTATTTTAGATTTCAAACTCTGTTTAAGCCACTTGGTGGTGCTGTGCATATAGAAAGTATAACATCTGCAGTGCTAATAGGAAGTCAAACATGTCCTAGAGATTAACATAATCTTCCTGGGAGAAGAGACAACTCACTAATAATTATGGTGGTTGAATTTGGTGAGGGGGAGCTCGTTTGCATATGAAGGCAGATCTGAGCACATACACATTTTTTAAATACAATATATTTGTATATATTTATAACATATTTGTGCAAATGTATTCTCTTTTTTCTTTTATTTATGAAGGAAGAGCAGACGATACTAATATTTGTGCAAATGTATTTGTTTTTTTATCTGGACTTGTTAAATGGGAGCTTACAATGATGTTATCTTTGACAGAGGTATTTACCGGTATATCATGTTATACAAATTACATTTTTTTGTACTGTGTTAGTTAGCAAACCAAACATAAGTACTTTTCTGTAAATAATTCTTATGTTTGGAAGTAAAATAAATGACATTGTATTAGTTTCTGCTTTTACACTGGTGTTTAGTAGACAATTCAAGTGATTAGCTGGATGCTGTTACTGGTTTGTCAAAACGATGCCCACAAGGAAAGAGAACAATATGACTGTTAATTACGTTTTCTATTTGTACTTTGACAGGAAGAAAGTTTGTCAATATACTTATGTATTTTTGGTATGTGAAGGATATGGACCTTCTGGCTGAAGACACATCGGCAGTACCACTCTTCCAAGTGGTCTATGGAAACCATAATATAATGGACACACAGCGTATCCTCATAGCAACCTATGAGTAAGGACCTTATAAACTTCTGTTTTCAGATTTAGTCTATATCCTGGTTTTAAGGTGGAACTCCAGCCACAGGCATCTTTACAATTTCTTATGGGGAAATGTTACGTGTTGTCAGGTACATTACATACTCCGCTCCATTCTGTATATGTATATATCTGGGGCCACAACATCTATCTTAAGTCATTATTAACCCCCCAGCCCCCCCTAATGCTAAGCCCTGCCCACAGTCATATAAAAAGCCAGATCTCTACATGCCAATAAAGATGAGATGTAAAGTTAGAGGCCCTGTCACCACAGTAATATCCTATATCAATAAAATGTTTGTAAACCTTACTGGCACTATTTTTGCTTTTGAAAAACTTTTGAAATGGCTGGAAATTCAACTGCTCCCAGAAGAGTTGATTCCTCAACTCAGCTGCATCTCCTTCTCCCTCCTGTCATTTTAGTGTTCTCCCCGAGGATCTGGCGCACACACACCAGTCGCTATGTAGGGCTGCAACTAACGATTATTTTCATAATCGATTAGTTGGCCGATTATTTTTTCGGTTAATCGGATTAAAAAAATATATAAAAATGTTTTAATTCATATTTAATATTGTTTAGTTAATTATTAATACATATTAATTATTTACTGTATAACTATTTGTTATTTAATTATTAAATATTGATTAAATATGAATTATTTAATTAAATGTTTCATTATTTAATGGACATATATTCATTCTTTCTACATAGCTCTCATCCCTGGTATATGTCACAGAAAGAACTTGTACAGGAAGGAAACATTACCGAGCAGACTTGTCTCCTGGATTCCTCTTACCAGATGCTTTTGTCTGGGGGAATCCCATTGGCTGCACACTTGAATCCGCGTCCTGACTGATTTATACACGTGAGCCGACTGGCTAGAGATGAAATTTTTCATGTTGCCTAGCTGAGCGCAGGAGAGGATATTGCTAGACACACTGCACGCGACGCTCCGCGCACCGCCGATTCCCTTTTTTGCGCGTGGCTTCCGCGTGCAGTGTCTCATGGACTTCGCAGGCTTAATTGTGTTCGCTGCCCGGCCAACTAATCGACAGACCAACTAATCAATAATGAAAATGATCGACGAGTTTCATTATCAATTAATATCTAATTTGTTATTTCAGCCCTATCGATATGGCAGCAGACACTAACTAAGCCAGGGGTATGCTCCTGACCAGGGCCGGCCTTAGGCATTTAGGCGAAAGCTTCACAGCGCCCCTCAGTGACCCCCCCAATATCCGCACCATTTAAAGACTCCCATTTTGTTAAGCCACAAACAAAAATATATTTAAAAGTATGATAAAAATAAACTTTTATTCAAAGGTATTAAACTTGTAGGCACAATAGAAGTATTCTTATTACATAAAACAAGAGAAGGCAAACAAGTGATAAACAATAAATGTCAAACTAAAATAGATTCTATAAAAATAAAGTGTCAGGTTGTCATGCCGATCCCTTTTTTCAAGTAAGTATATCTAGAAAAGTAAAAATAAAGAACAGAACACAAAACCCAGACTACATGTAAATTAATGAATTACTATTTGCCCGAATATACGAAAAATGTATTCCGGCACATAATAATTTGTTTGAGAATGTGCGGTGGCCATGTTGGCCACCGGCGTGTTCTGTGAATGCGTGCCACCATCTTGGAGGTGGGGACCATGACGTTACATGACGCCATGCATGCTTTGATGTCAGGTGACGTCACACGCCGATATAGGCACCGCCATCTTGGTGTATACCTGATATACACCAAGATGGCGGCGCCCAACACGTGCGGTGTCATGCTCCCCGCCTCCAGAACACGCCAATGACTGAATCCAAAATAGCATACAAATTTGTTTTGTTTGATGAAACGAATGAAAACTTTTTTAGTTTTCGTTCATTACCACAGCTTGCACACCCCTAAGGCCGGCCCTGCTCCTGACCCACTCCCTGCTAGTAATCCATGCGATCACGCTGCAGCATTTGGGGGCTAGGAAACACCCAAAATATATAAATTATCGCTTTGTTTGAAGAAAGAAAAACAAAAGAGGGGGGGAGGGGGCACAGTGTCTCTTTAAAATGTTTGTGAATTGAACTATATCCAGTCATCTGATAAATGAAATCATTTAATATCATATAAATTGAAATGTTTCGGCCTTTCATCATACAAGTATAAAGATAAGTGGACATCAAAGGTTTGAATCACCTAATGCAGCTCAACTAGTGAGGTTTCCACAATTCGCCCCTCTTCCACAACGCCATAATGTAGCTGCCAGTCACAGCCAGACGCCCCAGTGATTACTGATTCTACATGTGTTTGGTTTGTTTTTGTCTTTTGCCCATTGGATGTTGTTCTCTTTTCTAGGTTCACCAGAGAATTTACTCAGGGGGTAAAGCCAGACTGGATCATCACACACATTCAGCATTCAAAAGTATTAGAGTGAACGGAATACACATTATCATGAAGCTTCTATTCAGTGGTTTGTTTTTTCCTCTCAGACTGCCCTATGGAGTCCTGGTTTTCTAATGTACAGTATATGTAAGAAATCGTATAATTGAAAATGACAGATAAACTGTTTAAATACATTTGTACTCGGTATGTGTTTGCAATTATTTGAGGGCATTGGGATTGTAAAAATGTTGTCTATGGCATGATGAATGAAATGAATCATTCATCACAGAAAGTCACATAGTAGATGATAAAATCTCATTGCAGTGAACTTCCCCTTCATATCAGTGTGAGTTTAAAATAAACCTTAATTCAAAGAGTAAAGTTTTGTTAACTTATAAGGAACATCTAGAAGTGTTCTTAAAAAGTACCCTGAAAGACTTAACTTTGATCTTGATTGCTCCTGGAAAAGCAGTGCATTTCCTGTGTGTAGGTACTCACTCTTGATGCATCCTGTCTGCATCCAAGTGGGGACACCCGGACCCGCACAGATGTGCAGTTTGGGTGTTCGTATGACAGCATATGGCCGCATCTTCCCATAGGGAGGAACAGGCTGCTGCACTCAATCAGACTCAGCACATGTCCCTCCCGGGATCGGCCATTTACGTGTGTGCATGCCGCATGGATGTGTATGTCACTACTCTTCTACTCAATGTCGTTTTTACTGGAGTGGAAGCTGTATCCAAAGATCTCCAATGCATGCATCTCCCTGCTTCATTCATACTCTGCTCACTTCTTGATCATTGCCTCAACAGTGAAGCAGCTCCTTCTTATAATGCATGTTTATGAGTTGGGTGACTCATTCAAAATGATGCACCCCTTGTGTGACTGCTATGTTCGCTAGTGAAACAGTGTCATTGCAGTGGCTAGTCACAAACTTCTAGCTTAAAATCTGTGCTTACTAAATGTGTACTGTAATTTCCAATCAGGTAATGCAACTTGGTCATCAAAGTGGACCAGAAGATTTGCTCTGTTATAGGGAACATCTAAAACCTGGAATTATCCTAAGCTGTAATAAAGGAAAACGTCTTAATTCCTTCTGTAAAGTAGCAGTTAACGTTCTGTGCCTTTACCTTAATAGCTGTACCTGAGGACCATATGGGGATCTGCTTTCCGAACCTCTCCTGTTGCTGCTTGACTATTCCTCCATCAGTCATCGGGGGGAAGCTTTGTCATAAGGAAGCAAAGGCTAGTTTTCACCACATTTACAGTATAGATCAAGGCTCTGTAAATCAGTCCTTGGGAAACAATCAGCAGGTAATATTGATGACCAGTCCCATGACCTCTGCTTCCACAATGAAGTCACCTTCAACCTGCTGAATAGATAGTAAAGGAACATTATCATTAGGAGGTAGTCACGTGTCCTCCTGTCAGCAAGTTTCCATTGACAAATACAGTAAGGTTGCTTTATTTATAATAGACATTCTTTCCTTGCCACTGCACAAGCTACTCCTGTCCACACTGTGAACCAGGATTTTAATTTAAAGGAGAACTATGAGGTGAGTGATTTCCACTCACCTCATAGTTCTAGCCGACCTGTGACAATGAGACTGTCACAGGTCGGCTCAGTAGATCGGGAGGTGAGCGAACACATACCGGGTTCGCTCACCTCTCGATCCTGTCACGGCTCTCTTCCGTGACAAGGGGAGGGGCTGGATTCCCCCCTCCCCGCTCCGATCTGCCAGCGCTGACTGGCGGAACGGACGGGGGAGGGGGCGGGTACAGCTGGCTCTGCCTCTAGATAGGCTAAGCCAGCAGTCAGTCATGCAGCTGGGCGGATCCCGTCATATACGTCGGGATCCGCTCCGGCGTCTCAGTATACCGTGAGCTGTAGCTCGCGGTATACTGAGCTAGTTTGTGTCCTCCCATTACCCTAAGGAGAACGATGGGGAAAAACACTGACCCCAGAGTTCTCCTTTAAAAAAAAATGCTTCTGGCACATAAAAATGTTAACATAAGGATTTATCATAAATGAGCTATAAAGGAGTCTAAAATCTTAAATGACAAGAGAAACTGCATGCCCGTGTGGATAAGGCTCAGGGCAGGAGAAAGTGTTAATCCAAATGGAGGAAGAGTCCACACTCGGGTACTATGAGAGGCAGGTTTGTAAAGCAACATTGTAGCATTACTGCTACCAAACCTCTGCTTTAAAGCTGAACTTCCGTCTTACCTTTTTTTTTTCCCCAACACTTGTAGCTAGGGATGTCCCGATACCAGGCATTTTCACGAGTACTTGTACGTGTGAAAATGCCCTGATTCTTAAGGTCAATACCGGACTTTTACATTTTTAAACCGCTGCAGCTGCTGAGTTCCCACGCTTGTAGGGACCTGGCAATAGCTGTCACTGGCAGTGCCTGTCGTTTCTATACTTCCTGGCACAGCCATGGACAGCCCCACACATTGCACAGTACAGCCCCGGACCCTGGCACCCGTCCGATCAACTGAGAGCCCTGCAGAGATCCACATGCTGCCCAGTTGAGATTACAGCCTGCTGCTCTGGTGGTATGTATTGTGCTGTTGTAATGAAATCTATTGTACTCTGCTGGGATGTATTGTGCTCTGCTGACATCTGTATTCTGCTTTGGGGACATCTGTATTTAGCCCGGGTGAGAAACTGCCCTAAATTCATCAGTCTGTGTTGTTTTAGACAAAATGTCACAAGTCCCTTTAAGAAAATGTATTGGTAATTGGGATCAGCAAGTACCAGAGTATCAAGACATCCTACTTGTAGCTAGTCCTCCTTTGTTTAACCACTTGCTGTCCGGAGCAAATTTTTAAATTGTGCACATACGATAAAATCTTAATTTTTGGCTAGAAAACAGCTCAGCACCTCCAAACTATATATTTTGTGAAAGTGGAGGCCCTGTAGAATCAAAAAAAGCTAGTTGCAATTTTTTATGTCACACGGTATCTGTGCAAATGTTTATCAAATCAATATTTTTAGGATAAAATACCCTAATCATTTTAGTTCACAGAAACAGAAAATAATACCCATTTGTTTGGTAAAATATAAAAGAGGAGGGGTTACATCGAGTGAATGGATACCAAACATGTCAAGCATTAAAATTGCGTATGCTTGTGCAATGCTCACAAATGATAGTACTCAAAATTGTCCATAGGCGACGCTTTAAAAGCCTTCACTGCTCAATGGTTTAGAGTTAATAGTGAATTATGGGCCTAGAACTCTTACTTTTCTAGTGATACCCAACGCATGGAGCAATCATAGTTTATGTACATGTGCATGCCCTACGCACGCATTTTCATTCATATGCAGATGGCTGGGGCGGCGGAGTTGGTTTTCTTATTTTAAATTTTTTTCACTTTTTATTATTTTTTACTTAGCCCCTGTGTGATAGCAAAAACTTAACAGGCCCCTATGTGACATCATTTGGAGGTGACCAGTTCTCTTTATGGAGACATCAGGGGTCTATTAAACAGGGCTGTCCTATCTCCTGTGTAACAGGCATTTGAATTGGGCTTGTGACAGCTCCGAGCAGGAAGTGCTGTGAACAGCTATTTGCCGTGGTCCTGGCTCCCCCAGAGGAGCAGGGGAACCCCAAAAACCCAGAATCCCTTCAGATATGGATGCTTTGACCTTAGCTGTGCAATCTGCTGATAAGTTGCTTATTTGCACTCTATTAGAGTGTAATCAAGCAACTGATCAGAAGATTGCAAAGCTAAAGTCTGCAGAAGCTAGTGGTCAGCAGGGATGCACAGCAAAAGAAATGTGGGGGTGTCTTAGGTAGGGTGCTGTGAAGTTTACAGGAGCGTGCTGGTCCCTTGCACAAAACGTGACCTTACTAAGATCAAAGACCACCAAAAAGACCAAGTGATCACATTTACTGAGTTTCAAAAGGTGTTTCCCCTAAATCTTGTAAAAAGATACAGGCTATCAATTAGTAGCACGTGCTTCACCTCCTTCATTTGTTTAGATTTCAAGAAATATAGCTTACCATTGTCTTGCAATCGCCTGCCTGCCACTGACAGACTGCTTCTGCCCCTTCCTCTGACATCACCAATAACATTATTGCAGATAACAAATGCCATAATGTTGTCATGTTAACACTACAATGCTCATAGGATTCCTTCATTCTTAAAGCAGACCTTTACACTCAGAAATCAAATTCTACCAATCCATTCCTCTCTATGTGTGATGATAAATAATAACAAAGACATGTCAGGTGTAAAATGCTGTGATTATGAAATACTTACACGTGCAGAGCATTCACTTCCTGCTTTGAAAGGGCAAAATGACCTCAGTTTGCTCAAGCATTGCATCCCAGGAAGGTTACATCTGCAGAGCATTGCTGGGAAATCTCATCTCAGGGAAAGGCATTTTCCTCCCCTGAGATGATGTGCATGGTCACATGTTCTAGTCACATGTGCCAGAAATCTAGGAAGTAATGAGAGCTAGTAATCTGCCCTTAGTAAACATGGCCACTGCCAGAAGACTGGGGAAGAAAAGAGTAATAAGGTATGCAAAGAATACAAAGCCGGCAATTATCTAGAAGTATGTGTTTGTAGATTGTCATTACTAAACATTTCTAGAGGTGTGTTTGTTGTTATTTGAAAGATATGTGTACAGGTCCGCTTTAAGGAACAGGTACAGAGAGTATCAATAAATGGCGCCCTTTCAGACTGGGCTAGTGTCATTAGCGGTGTGCCTCAGGGTTCTGTGCTGGGTCCCATGCTTTTCAACCTGTTTATTAACGACATCGGGGATGGAGTACACAGCGATATGTCAGTGTTTGCTGACGATACCAAAATTGGGAGGGTAATAGAAACAGACCAAGATAGTGTAACATTGCAAGAGGACCTGGATAAAATAGGGGAATGGGCAACTATGTGGCAGATGAGGTTTAATGTCGATAAATGCAAAGTTATGCACTTTGGGAGCAAAAATAGGCAAATGGACTATACAATTATGGGTATGCCGCTAGGGAAGTCGGAAATGAAGATTTGGGGGTCATTTTAGACCACAAACTGAATAATAAATTACAGTGCCAGGTTGCTGTAAGCAAAGCTAGTAGGATCTTGTCCTGCATCAAGAAGGGAATGTTTTGCAGGGATAAGTCTATAATTTTGCCACTTTACACATCACTGGTTCGGCCTCACCTGGAGTATGCGGTGCAGTTTTGGGCACCGGTACACAGAGGGGATGTCCTTGAACTGGAGAGAGTCCAGCGGAGGGCGACCAAACTCATAAAGGGGATGGAGGACCAGAGCTACGAGACAAGGCTACTAAATTTAAACATGTTTACGATGGAAGTAAGGAGATTAAGGGGGACATGATTTTCATGTACAAAATGTTCAATAGTCATAGCAACAAACTCTTTAAGATTAATTCCGTAACAAAGACTAGAGGACACCACCTAAACAGGTAAAAAAATTCAAACACAAGGGGCGAATGGGGTTCTTCTCAGTTTGCGCGGTTAGGGTCTGGAACTCGCTGCCTCAAGCAGCATTAGTCTGGAAACATTTAAGAAGCTCTTGGACGATTTCCTGAGAGACCGTAATGTACAAAGGTACAGGTACTCGTAAGAATGAGAACACTCATGGACCTATACACACACACACACAATAGGTTGGACTTGATGGATTGATGTCTTTATTCAACCACAAATACTATGTAACTTGTTTCACACATAATGCAGCGGGTCCTCTCCCTGTTAAAGGAGACCGCACATCTTATACCACCTACTACATTAATTTACATCTTTAGTAGTGCGCTTACCTTTTTTCTGTTTTTTGTGTATTGTTTCACACATAGCAGCCATTGCTAACCTCTCCTTACTGATCTGCTTATTCTAATCCTGTGAGTAACTGACCAAGAAGAAGTATGGAAAGCAAGCATTCACAGTATGACAACTCACCCCCTACATTCGTTTCACTTTAAGCTGAAGAATTGCATTGAAAGTACACAAAGCTAACTATGAGAACAGTTATTGATGTTTCATATGAAAGCCTGCAAACCTGCCAGCACCACATAACTTCTATTTCAAAACCAGATATGCAAATATTGATGTTTCTTTTTTACAAGCTGCTATTTGTGTAAGAATTGCCCTGCTCCCTACATGTCTCTATGCCTGAGCTTTTGCACAGGTCACTAAAACGTTGCATAGTGGAAAGGGATCAGAGTATGGCTGCTCTCTGCCACACTGTACCGGCATCCTGTGGAAAAAATCCTGCTTACTGTCTAACCCGCACAGAGTTTAGCAGCACAATCACATTGTAGCCCCATTAGTATCAGGTGCATGCGTTAAACTAAAGATCCTGGAGAAACAGAGAGAGGCCACAGAGACTATCTTAATGTCAAAGTGCATTTAATTACAACAAAAAAAACCTTCCTAAAAAAGATCATTTCTATCCGTTCATATAGTATCAATATTAAAATACCAAGGTGTCACTGTTTTTTATCTAGGAGGAGTTGTAGGGAAGGCTTTTGTTTTAATTCATTCAGTGTTGGAAGTTCATTCACAGACGTCGCGCCCAGAGATGGTCTCTTTAGACGTATCGCACGACTACAAGCCGGCTTTCTTAAGGTTGAAGGTTTAGGGTCATCCTGGCCTTCCCTTTTGCGACTGCTGGACTCTGGTTCTAAGATGAAAGGTTTTTCCCCATTACTGTCACTGGTCAAGCGCCTGAGTTTTGTTTCAGCTTTTTCCGATTCTACATCAGTGTCGTCACTTGCTCTTTTTGGAGCTGTGCTCTTTGACACCCCTGGACTGTCGTCTTGGGAGGTTGATTTCTTCACTCGAATATGGGTGTTTGTAGATGGGCCACAAAACCTGATGGGCTTTATTCCAGTCTTGGGTGTCATGTCAGTGTCTGGTTTCTCTTTTGCGAGATTGATGCATTTCCTGCAAGGCAATAGTTATAAATTTTGTCATCATTTTAATTTGATACATTCAATACATGGAGTTAAAAACGGATCATTCCCCATTAGGGGGCGGAGGACGAAGCCGCTGTCACAGAAATAAGGCCGAGCGGTGAGGAGAGAGAGAGAGAGAGAGAGATAGACGCTCGGCCAGGTTCTGACAGCCGGCGCCTCTCTCTCCC